TATAAGCCAAACCCTAAACTCTAAACCGACATGGAGCCCCGGCCTTCACTTCTTCCCCTTGCAGGCGCAGAGAGGCTTATGGTGGCCGTGGTTGTTTTTGTCGCAGCTCAAAGCGCTGGCGCTGGTCCCGGCGCTCACCTGGGTTCTGGGCTGACCGAAACCCGAAACCCTAAACCCCTAGACCCTAAACCCTAACCCCTAAACGCCTGAACCCTAAACCCCTGAACCCTAAAGCCCCAACCCCAAACCTCTAGATCCTAATAGCCCCCTAACCGATTGAAACCTTAGAGCTATAACCCGGTCTGAAGCGCTGAACTCATCCTTTACTATCGCACAGAATCACAGAATGAGGTCTCTTCATTGATTCGCCAGGAACGGTAGCACTTCCTATCGAGGCTCCAACTCACAGTCTGTAGGAGCTTCGGAAAAGAGGGGACCCTGCTATAGATCCTTCTTGTAAGCAGCACCAAATACTGATGCCATAGCTTCCCAACCCCTAAACCCTAAACCCAGGCGCTGGTGCGCAGTCATCGCTTCTGCTCGTGGAGAAGGGGCTGCCTGCATAGTTGCGAGCTCCATGGAAGCCTCGGCCAGAAGTCGGTTTAGGGCTTTAGGGGTTGAGGGTTTGAGGTTTAGGGTTTACGGTCTAGGGTTTGAGGTTTAGGGTTTAGGGTTTGGGGTTTGGGGGATAGGGAGTAGCGCTAAACCTTGCGATGCCAAGCGCCCACTTTGAAGAACGGTCGCTCCTGAACCCTGAAGCCTACACCCTCAACCGGCAAAGTGCTTAGAGTTGCACCGACGAACCCATCCTGATTCCTGAACAAGGGACAACATACAGTAGGCTTTGTGTTTGGCGGTTCGATTGTACATTGCTCAGAAGCTACGGACACCCGAAGTTGCAACGAACCCTTTGGGGCATAGAGTCTTAGAGCTGAAAACACAAAGTTTCGGAATTGTTGGAGTTCGAGTGTTTATGTATAGGGATTGGGGGTTTCGAAAAGCTTCTAATTCATATCTTCGGGCTTCGGGCTTGAACTGGCCATTTCCTGGGCACTAGTGGGACAAGGTTTAGGGTTTTAGGATTTAGGCTTATGGGGTCTATAGGGTTATGGTTTTGGGTTTTGGAGTCTAAGGGGAAGGTCCAGTTCTGTCCAGGATGCCTCGGCAAGTGTAGCCAGCCTTCTTGAAGGCAGCGCCCACCTTCTCGTTGTTGGTTAGAGCAACCATCTTGGCTTTGTCCTCAGCTGACAGGCGACTGCCACAAAGCCCCAAAGGCTTACGGCTAAGATTTGGGGTTTTCTGAACCCTAAACCCTTAAACCCCAAACCCCTGTCTCGAAGGAAAGGTCTCTGGAAACGTTGCAGGAAGACGCAAGGAGACAGGCATACCAGTCAGATGCCTCTGTCGCAATACGGTTTTTCCACACTTCTCCAGGAAGTGCAGATGTGCATTTCTTCTTGTAGGACTTGTTACGGATTAGGGTTTAGGATGGTTTAGGGTTTAGGGTTTTGGGTTAAGCCCTCTTTCAGCGCACAAATTTCCCAAGCATGGCCAGTTCTTACGATGCAACCCCATCACTATCTCTTTGAGCCACTAAAGAACCTTTCGCTCCGGCACCTGGGACCCAACCCTAGAAGACCTAAGACAATACGAGTTGTATGATGAAGGAGCACAGTCGACTAGTGGAGACCACTCAGCTTTGTGTAGAATGGAGAACAGCTTTGTCACCTGATGAGTGTCAGGATAGTTGGGTTTGCCATAAAGGCCACTCATGCCAAGTATACAATCTGCGACACCTTCAGTTTGTATTTTCCGTTATATAACAGGGATCTCCAAATTTCCGGAGACTGTGAACTTTAAGACCTCCGATGTAAGCTTCCCTCAGGGTCGTGGGCGCATTTTGAAAGGAGTTCACAAGATTCCTGCCGTCTAGATAGCGGGGCCCAGCCTCCCACCTTCAACGATGGCAGATGCCTCATCTCGTCTATGTTTCACCGGGATGGCCCCCCTCTCTCAGAAATGGCATCCAAGTAGCACATCCTTTGAAACCATTGTTGGAGCACACCTTCGCAAGTAGCAGGCTACGTTCGGTATAGTGCTCTCCGATTACAGCTGCAGCTCTTGAGAGGGCTATTGAGTTAGTTACCAGAGCTGGGAGTTTTGCCAAGATCTTGCATGGAACGCGCATTTACACCCGAACTCAGCGTCAAGGGCTGCAGATAAGACGGGTTTTGAAAAAACCCTCCCCTCCCCCGCCCCCCGATTGGCGGTTCCCGACAAAGTGCAACACCGGTTCCACCAGGCAGCCTAATATGGGGAGTCCCGATAGACTTCTTCCCCGAATTCAATCTAAAAGGCACCGGGTTAGTCCTGGTTGATGGATGTTGAAGCTCCCTAAAACACCCTAAACCCCTCTTCCCTCTTCCCCAAACCCTAAACCCTGTATCCAAGCAACCCTCCTAAACTCTAAACCCTAAACCCTAAACCCTGTATCCAAGCAAGTTCTGGCTCCAGATGCGCTTTTTCGTCGCAGACCTTTGAAACCCACACGCTCACAGCCAGAAACCTCTGAGTTCCCGAAGCATAGGGTTTAGGGTTTAGGGGTTTAGGGTTTAGGGGTTTAGGGTTTAGGGTTTAGATTGTCCACCAACGACTGTATGAGAAAACCTCCGCCAGTAGTTCCTCCTCTGGGGTGCAGTTTTGGGGCCCTGAAAAGTGTTTATGAATAGGTACCTCTATAGGAACCATAAGGGAAATTTTAAAGTTTCCGTAATTGCCACCTAGTCCTTTACTTTCTGCACTCACTTACAATGACCCGATTGCTGATGAGTGCGCAATGCGCGCGCCCCCCTAAACCCTAGAACCCTAAACCCCTAAACCCCCAAAACCCTAAACCCAAAGCCCTAAACTCTAAATCATGATCCCTAGACCCCTGATCCCTAAGACCCCAAGACCCGAGGGCTGCGCTGCTCTGTCCGGTGATGTAAGATACCGACGGGTTCAGGGTTCTCGGTTTAGGGTTAGGGTTTAGGGTTTAGGGGTTGGTAAGTTAGGGTTTAGGGTTTTAGGGCTTAGGGGTTTACGGGTTTAGGGTTTAGGGTTCCGACAGCGATGGGCAGGCCAGAAATGCACCCATCTTCTTGGACATACTATGATATACTGAACAGCGAACATGAGACTCTCTTCACTGGTCTCTCTGCATTTCCGCAAGCAGGACGTCTGGTCTGATAGCTTGGAAACGAAAGCGTTTTTGACTCGGCCGTGGCAGTAGAACAATATCATACTAAGCTAAACCCTACACCGCTAACTTATGCGGCTCATTTCCTGCTCTTGCGCCTTCTACAACGAGCGTGGACGACGTTTCAAGTAGGGATCCCGACACGGACAACCCTAGTTGACACTCATCGGCATGTCCATCATCCCTACATGCATCCACTAAATCAAATTCCCGAGAATGTGGCGAACCAACTACAGTAATCCAATAAATCCCTTGTAGACATTTATGCCAATGCAGCTCCCTTTGAAAAACCCTTATAGATCACTTTGGAGAACCCGCATAAGAGCCTCACACCCCCCAAAAAATTAGTATTGGTAATCATTTCGGCCCCTATGATAGACCCCGAAGATTTGGCGACACCTTGTCGCAGGTGTCTCCGCCTCCACCCATCAGCCACGCCTCATCGGCCTCGTGGATCGGACTTTTAAGGATTAAGTTTAGGGTTTAGGGTTGTAGTGATAGGGTTTAAGTTTAGGGTTTAGGGTCGGGGCTGTAGTGCGAAGGTTTAAGTGTAGGGTTTAAGGTTCTGGGTAGAAGGTAGGGCTTAGCCAGGAGTTACGGGGCTTAGAGAGTTTCCATCCTTGGTTGGCTGAGGGGCTCCGGAGTTCGGCTTTGGAGGTTAGCAGGTTAAGGTCTCGGGGTTTGGGGCTGAGGCTTCGGGGAAGGAATTGAGTGGAAGTGATGAGTGAGCACACTGCAGGCTGCCTAAACCCTATGAACCCTAAACATCCCCAAACCCTATAAACACTAAACCCTATATTCCCTATAAGCCCTATAAACCCAAAAATCTTGAAACCCTAAACCCTAAAACCCTACACCCTGCCTTCTCGTGCTTGAGGACCGAAGCGGGGACCTTCACCTTGGAGTTGCCGGTATCGGGACCCTGGTAGCGCATCTTGAAGTTTTCGCCGCCGTACATCTCCTTAGTTGCTGAGTTCATACACCCAAGAAAGTGTACACTTTCAGGTTTTGTAGTGGGTAATATTATCCCAAAAGAGTAAAGTGCATCGACTCAGCTACTAAGTCTCACACATCTCCACCTTGATCCCATGGGCACCTGGTTTCAGGAACTTGTCACTGCTGCCCCGCTCCCTCTCTCCGTGGCAATCGTTGTTGTCGACGATTTTCTCCCCCTCCAGCCACATGAAGGAGCCTCACAGACAAAAGCCGGCTGCAAGTACCAAGCACTGTCTCTGCACCCTGGGCTTCTGCGGCCCGGCTCCAGAAGTCACCTTCAGGCCAAGGCACCATCATCTGACGCCAGGAAGAACTTGTAGTTGCCCTCCTTTTTCGTGACCAAAAGACCTGTGCACCTGCCACTGCAGTTGCGAAATCTGGAAGATGAGCCAAGGCCACGCACATGTAACGTAGGCCCTGCCTCATGCAGAACTGATCCCGCTGGCGTAAGTTGGGGAACTGCCCATGGGACTGACGGGGATGCAAAGCATCGCAAAGCGGAACGCGCATGAGTGCAACATGGTCAACTGCAGCCACATCAGCCACCCGTAACCTTCATCCCTGTTTCCCAATCCCGGTCCATGTAGATCTCGGGCACGATCTCACGATGGGCTGCGTTCCTGCTAAGGTTCCATGAGCAAGCTAGGCATCAGGCGTGGGCTGCGGGGTCTCGCAGCAGGGCATGCGAACGATAAGCCCTGAAGGTTGAATCCTGAACTCTAACCGCTAACCCGAGAATCCTAAAAACATAAATACACAAGGAAACCTAAACAGAGCTGAACAACCCGACACAGCCAAACGAGCCGAGTGTCAGGGCACCCAGATTCGGCACGCGGCACTGCGACTGATCGTAGTAGTAGTCGCACTCTAAGCCGTCCTCGAGAACAGCCTGCCACATGGGTAGCTCTCTAAAAAATCGGGTCCCTTTTGCTGTCCTTTTTACAGGGGGTGCCGTGCTATATTGGGGACCTATATTTTAGCACCCTAAGTTAGAGAACTAAGACAGGGGCCCAAAACCTCGAAGAGGGGGATATATTATTCTTCTCATAAGGGCCCCCCCCCCAAAAAAAAAATAAAAATAAAAAAAAAATATATATATATATAGATAGTAGAGGTAGTAAATTTAGGCACCAAAAGTACCCACATGCCGAAAAGACCAGCTTTAAAGCTCCAGGGTTCTACGGACTTCGGGTCTGGGGATTGAGGGCTATGTACGGGATCCGAGCCTCTCAGCCCTTGGGGTTTAGGCGTTTAGGGTTTAGGGGTTTGGGGTTTAGGGGCTTAGGGTTTGAGAGTTTAGGAGTTTAGGGGTTAGGGGTTAGGGGTTTAGGGTTTAGGGTTCAGGGTTTAAGGGCTTAGGGGGCAGGGCTTAGGGTGGTGTTTACGGGTTTCGACAACCAACCCGGTGTTGAATGCCTCTCAGTCAGCACCATGAGCAGTCTGCACACCCCACCCTGCCTTGTCCGCGGGAGCAACTACGTGTTGGAGAGCTTGTTCGGGGATTGTGATCTTGGAGTTGCCAGTGTCCGGTCCCTTGTAACGCCTCAGTGCTCGATTTCGGGATTCGAGCTCGATACCGCTCTACCCATAGGCCCCTAAGTAGTTCCTTTTTGGGATTACCTTATAGGACTCTAAATATAAGCCATAAAAAGGAACTACTTCGGGGCCTATGGGTAGCGAGAGTTTGACTCCGCTGGTTGCCAGGATGCTTGTCAAGTTCTCTGAAAAAAATCGCGCTGAGGGTCGCGCATCTTCAAGTTTTCGCCGCCGTACATCTCGCACATGTCCACGGCCAAGTCGTGGGCGCCGGGCAACAGGAACTTGTCGCTGCTGCCCCGCTCCCTTTCCTTGGCTGTTCCTGGAAGCCCACTCCAAGATATCGTTGCTGTTCGTTCTTGAGAACATTCCATACTCAGAAAACCAACACAACTTTCAAGAACGGCCAAGTTTCTCCATGGCAGTCATTGTTGTCGACGACCTTCTCCCCGTTCAGCCACATGAAAGAGCCTCACGAGAGAACGGTACTAGTCCGCGGTGACCGCAGACAGTGTGGCTAGCCTAGACCCTAAACGTGCCCTAAACCTCAAAACCGTAAATTTTCGCAAACCCTAAAAGCCTAAACCCTGAGACCCGAAATCCTGAACCCTAGATCCCGAAACTCCAATCCCCTGAAGCTAACAGAATACTCCTCAAACCACAAAGCCCTAAACCCAGGCGACTCCGAGATCTGAGCCCAGCACCATCGTCTGAACTGAGGTAGAACTTGTAGTTGCCCTCCTTTTTCGTGACCAGCTGACCTGTGCACCTGCGATGTGCCAGACTCTGGTAACATCCCTAAGCCCAAATCCTCGGCTCTCAAAACCCTAAGACCTAAAGGTGTAGAGCTCCAAGTACTGAGCTTTGAAGTAACCAGGGAGGAAAAAAGTATAGGCTTTCATTTCAGAAAGGTTCCTTTAAGGGGCAGGTACCAAAGGAAAGTATGAAGGTATGGTACTCCAGAACCCAGAGTTCTTATTCTTCGTTGCGTTGTAAATACGAAGGAAACACAAAGGGAAACCAGTGAGCCTTCATGATCTTCTCCTCATCCTAAACCGTAAACCCTAAACCCCCAAACCCCTAAACCCTTCATCCGAAACCCTGTCACTTCGTTCCGTTACTTTCTTACACGCATAGAAGTTCGACGGTCACCCAGAACCCTGAGACCCCGAAACCCAGAAGGCCCCGAGCCCGAAAGAACCCGGCAACCCTAAAGCCCGATCATGTAGGAACCCTGTAGGAACCCAGGGAGCCCACTGCCCCTCAATTAAGGAATATACCTTAAATTTCTAGGGGCTTTAATACTATGATTTAGGGTATATTCATTAAGGGGTATTGGGCTCTCTGGGGAACCCTAGGGCTCCGAGCATCCCTTATTAAAGGAAACTACAGGTGGGGAGTTTAGGGTATATAGGGCTTCCATAAGGCTTCTATAAGGCATATAGACCTTCTGTAAGGCTCCAATAACGGTAACACTACCCAGCTGAAAAGGTCCTAGACCTAAACCCTAAACCCTAGCAAGCCTCTGAAGCTCGCAAAACCACCTGGGTTAGTTCTCCAAATTCGGCTCCCTCTTTGCACCCCAAAATCCCCAAGCCCTAAACCGTAAAAGGGGCCGTACTTTAGAGAACTAAACCCTAAACCCTAAACCGTCACCGAGCCTGATGCAGAATTGATCACCTTGCCGGACTTCGGGGAACTTGCCATGCTCCTAATGGGCTCCAGGCTTCAACAAAGGGCTCTGGGTGGGGTCTATAAAAGAAGGGTTTAGCTTAGGGGTCACAGGGACAAGAGTTATGTAACACGGGTTTAGGATTTTTAGAGGTTTAGGGTTGCATGGTTAGGCCTTTAAAGTGTTCGGGCTCTGGGGTTCTGGGATCTGGGCCGATGAGAAGCCCACCGAACCCTGGCGACCACGATGGGAGGAACATGAGGACGGGCGGCAGGACGAACGTGATGGGAGCTATCAGAACCCTGAAGGAGAATGACGACGTTGGAATCCCTGCATAAACCCTAAACCGTGTTGCTATGCTCTCTCTTGAGCTCTCCTAATGTTCGGAGAAAAAAGAGCACTTCACACGCACTCAACCCTGAAAGCTGGCAAAACAAACCTTACACGCGGTCCATGTAGATCTTGGGGACGACCACTTCGTGGGCCGGTGTCCTCCGCGACGCAGCAAAGCTGGGACTAGTATGACCGAATACTAACGAGCAGCAAAGCTTTCGCGTTTGGGATTGAAGGGTTTTGGGTGAGGGTTTGGGGATTTGGGCCCCAAAAGTCCGACAAACCCTAATCGGGAGGCTGGATTTTCGAACACTTAGGGAGCTTTCAGTCGTCATCTCAGCGAAGCCCTATCTGCGGTGGTGCCGAATCTGCGAGTTAAGGGGTTTAGGGTTTAGGGTCTTAGGGGTGTAGGGTTTAGAGGTTTATAGGGTTTAGGACGCGAGCCACCAAATCCAATTCCCTTAACGTCGGACCTCTTCTCCCCGAACGCTGAGTGATAAACCCCTCAACCCTAATTTCTCAAGCCGGCATTCTTCAAACCCAACCCCTAAACCTTTTAAACCCCAAGCCCTAAACCCTATAAACCCCAAACCCTCAACTCCGAACCTTAAACCCTAACCCTAAACCCAAAACCCTAAACCCTAAATCCTAAATCCTCAACTCCGAACCTTAAACCCTAAACCCAATCCCTGAAACCAGGCCCGCACTCCGAAGCTCGAGGCCTCGATCCAGAATCCCAGCGCAAAACCCCTTTACCCTGAGCCCTTCGTGCTGAACCTATTGGCTTGAGGTTCAAGGCTTAGGGTTTAAGGGTTTAGGGTTGAAGGGTTTAGGGGTTTAGGGTTTTAGGGTTGAGGGGGGCTTAGGGCTTGGAGGTTAGAGATGCAGCAGGGTTTAGGGGAACCCGAAGCCAGCGTCAAATCAAAACCCAGGGGTCCAATCAGACAGGTCAGGAACTCGGCACTGAGACTTGTCGTAGAAGTATCCGCATTTCAACCCATCCTTCACGACGTCTGCCTGCGACTGGCAAAGACAGGTCTTTAGGTTCCTCATGTGGCACATCTAGAGATTTGCTGTCCGGCGGGATATTGCCGGAATGCAAGCGAGTAGCCAGATTCTTAAGAAAACGCTCAGCTCCGCTAGCAAGTTAAACTCCTGCCTAGCTTCGAGTATAAGCCTGAGCGCCCTAGCAGCACTAGGCTTGTACTTTTAGGGTCGAACTGTGGCCCTAAACGCTAAGCCCTAAACCCTAAAAAGCCCTACCTTAAGGAAGTATAGAACGCCTACACCTGAAATCAGAACGAGGAGCCCTAAAAAAATAGGTCTGCTCGGCTACAGGAGGGTATAGGGTGCCCTCAACAACCATGGCGAACTGCTGAGTTTAAACAATTCCTCACCAGGAATCAGGAAGGCTTTTGGTTTAGGGCTTGGGGTTAGGGTTTAGGATTTGGGCTTTGGGGGTTAGGGTTTAGCGCTTAGGGTTTAGTGTGCAGGCTTTAGGGTTAGGGTTTAGGGTTTAGGGCTCAGTCCTGAGGCTAAACCAATCAATTCAAGGCGAAGCAAGGCGCAACGATGCAGGTTGTGGTGCACGCAGGTACATGTATACACAAACTCATCCATACCTGCTTCTACGCATGCAGTTCCTACTACATTATAAGATTATGTAGTGGCAGCCCGCACAAACACATATGTACACACACACACTCTCTCTCTCTCTCTCTCTCTCTCTCTCTCGCTCTCTCTCTTGCTCTCTCTCTCCCTCTGGCTCTTACTGTCTGTATAGTACATCAGACCAACTTGTATTCACCTCTGTCCACATGTATGCCAAACAGCGCAGTTTATACGTATACACATATATGTATGTAGATATAGGTATATTCGCACATACAAGGCTATATCTATATATATATATACATATATATATACACACACATATGCCTGTATATGTATACATATATATATACACACATACACATATGCCTGTATATGTATACATATATATACACATACACATATGCCTATATATGTATACACACAGAAAGGGGGCCACTGCATGCGTGTGCATATATCATATACAATACAGTGATTGACATATGCCTGTATCCATGTATCTATGTATCTATCTATCTATCTATCTATCTATGTATCTATCTATCTATCTATCTATCTATCTATGAATATCCGTTAAACTACCTATAATATATGTAGATATATGTATGTATGTATGTATGTATGTATGTATATATATATATGAGGCAGGGACCTCTATGTATTATGTGAACGTCTTCTTGGGTTAATGAAGTTACTATTATATGGGTATACATATACACAGAAGAATGTACAAACACATACACACACCCACACACGCACACTCAGAAAAATACGTTGAGGGAGAGAAGAGCAATATACTCCAGACTAGTATCTTCGTGTGCAGTACACCCTGAAACATCGTGTTAGATAACGGTGCCTGGCAGCAGACAACATCCCACACTCTGAAAATCCTGTCCACTCACGCACCTGTGTTGCATTTCACCTAAGCTTCGCAGTGCCCTGGCCTGGCAGCCGTTGGACACAACACCTCCGACCATGAGCCCAGTGGTCTTGATCTGGTACTGACTACCAGAGGAAAACGAACGTTTCCAAACATTGAGCACATGGTTGTCGCTTCTCTTGAAGTCACCAGCATCCACTTGCTCCCAGCCATCGCCACTGAGTGCAGCATCCACACCGGCGTTGTAGTGATGCTTCATGACCCACACGTAGAGAGTTACTGGTGCTTCATAGGAGATTGTCCATGTCCCTGCAGACGGCCAAGTCTTGGTACCGCTGTATTTGCCGCCATCCTGAGTTCTTGCTAAGGGATTAAATTTATAAGTTTCCATGATAAAGAAACCAGGTTATTTAAAGTAGATCCCTACTATGGTAACTTAAAAAGAACCCTTTAACAAGAACCCAGCATCGAGCACGGAGGGGACGTTCTTAAGCTTGTAGTCGCGCTGGCCTGGATTCACCAAGATCCCTTCCTGGCTTGGAAGAAACCAGCGAGAAAAAGTAAAGACTTTTTTCATAATGGTTCTAGGCCCCTAAACCCTAAACCCTAAAATCCCTAATCCCTAAACCCTGGTTCCTTTAAGGAACAGGTCTCAACAACAAAGGATTGTGAAAGTATGGTACTCCAGAGCCCAGCTTCCTTCATCGTTGTGATGGCATTCCATCCGATCCCCAATCCAGACGAGCCAGTGACGGAACCACAGTCCTGGTACTGGCTCCGACTTCAAGCTTTCGGTTCATATAGGGGCCTGAATCTAATAGTGCTTTGGGGGGGGGGGGATATTCTACCATAAGTATAAGAAGGAACCCCCAAAAAAACAACAAAAGCGAAGTATCGGCAGACATCGGCAGTTTTTTTAGGCCCCTGTATTATGTTCGGCGGCTGTATGTGGAAACAGAGCAGTGTCGTTGTGCATGGCAGGGGCTTCGCAGAGACACGAACCAACCAAAACATCTGAACCCTAAACCCTAAACACTGGCTTCATGACGCAGGCCGTCCTTTGTCCGAAACTCTTAAAATCCCTAAACTCTGAACCCTCAATCACTGTAAAGGCCGAGTATATGGACTCCGGCTCAGAGGAGAGTGAGCATGAACAGGCCACTGCGGGGTTTCAGGGTTTAGGGGTTTTAGGGTTTATATAGGGTTTTGGGGTTTAGGGCTTTGGGTTGAGGGTTTTAGGGTCTAGGGCTTAGGGCTTTGGGCTTAGGGTCTAGGCGCTTAAAGTTCAATGTTTTGGGCTTTAGGGTTGGTATGAACATTCAGGTTTGCAGAATTTTCGCCTGGGAATGGGAGATTCCATGCTGAGGGCAGCTATTGCAATTTTGGATTTACAGAACACTCATGAACTCTGCTCTGGTCGAATGAACTCCTAATTCACATCTGCCGCATGAAGACTGTGTTTGCCCAACGTCTTTCTTGTGGCCAGGAGGCTGTAGAGTTTCATTGTGATATAAACATTTGATGCACGTGCTATCTGGGTATGCAATGCATGGAAAGCTAGTTGCAGTCAGAGTCTTGGTTCAACGCAATGAAGCCAGACCAGAAGCCCTCGACCCAGATGAAACTGAACTGCAGAACCCTGACCCAAAACCCGAACCCTTACATGAGACTAGAACAGAGTCTTGTGTGAGGGTTTGGGGTTTAGGGTTCTGTACTTCGGCACTCCCATGAAAAGTTACACAGACCGCAGGGAGGGATGCAACAGAAACCAAAGCAGCAGAGCGGCGTCTTTGAGGCTGTTGACCCATAGCCACACCTGGACTGCTCTTAACTTCGGGCTTTCAGCCCTTTGAATCCGTGTCAATTTCGCTCTGAGGTCGAGGGATCTCCCACTCCAAGTTCTACCTGGACCCCAAGCTACCTACTTTGTTCTAGGGGTTCCTTGCTACATGCTCTTCTTTATATAAGTCCTTAAATAAGGTCGGCTCTTTGGGGTAAAGGTAAGACCCTAAACCCTAAACCCTAAACCGTGGCTCTGTAAGGTTCATAGCTTCGGCTCAGGAAGCTTGCGCCTGACGGTGCCAAGTTGGGGCTCAACCATCTATGCTTCAGCGCCGGTGGGCTTCTAGGGTCTACCCATAGGCTCCTAAGTAGTTCCGTTTTGGGATTACCTTATAGGATTCTAAATATATATCATAAAAAGGAACTACTTAGCGGCCAATGGGTAGGGTTTCGGGTTTTAGGTTGGCTTCGAAGGTGTTGCGGGGCGTACAGTTCGAACAGAAGCATGAGTACAGCTTGGCAGTTGACTGCTTCTACATCGTTTTGCAAGAAAGCACAAGAACGTAGAGGCCGCTGGAACATCACCATGGGGTCTTTGTGCAACTTTACTAGGACCGCCATGGATCTACAGAACTAACTTTAGGTCGACCGCATCATCCGCGAGTAACTGCCCATGCGCTGGTCGTCGCCTCTATCCCTCAAGCGTAGACTTTCAAGCAGGTGTAGGGCCAAAGCTCAGGCCAACGTTCAACAGGACGGGGCTCAACTCTCGTGATAGAAGCTCGAGAAATTTAGGGTCGTTTAGGGTCTAGGTTTTAGGGGACCTGTTTTCAGACATAAAGCGCATGTCAAGTCTGATGGAGGTCGTAAGATGACCAACGATGATATGCCTCGAATATACTCGAATGAACAACTCTACTGGGTGAGGGCCTTTGGTCTAAGATCCAGATGCAATGGGGTCACGGGCTTGAAGGTCTTGCTGTTGGCAGCGCACGTGCCGGCCCCTGAAGCGAAGTACCTGGGAGATGTTGAGCAGAAGGCCACATCTGCAAAGCAGCAGTGACTTTAGCAAAGCAAGCCCCTAAAACCCTAAACCCTAAAGCCTAAACCGACTGAATTGCAGCTGTGGCACGCCGTCCAACCTGCCCCAAGCTCTGTGTCCGTGGACTGTCCCGCGATTCCAATGCCGATGGCAGCGTCCGCATCGTTGCTGTCAGAGTTTTGGCAGCCCTGGCTTGGGCAGTTTGCGCAGAAACCCCACCGAGCTTTGTTGCCGTCCTTGCACTCGATGTTGAAGCCAGGCCTCGCCAAAACCGTCTAAAACAGAAGCACCGGCAGCAACGGAACCTAAACTTGTGAGAAATAACTTGTGGACATGTGTTCCCTGGCCTCTGCATCGGGCAATCCCGGTACGAGCCTTTGACGGGGCCGAAGCTGCTCAGAATGCCATCCCTGTCCACGCTTTCGTCTCGAATGTAACCGGCATTGAAGAGGGCCCTAGCACTGTTGTACCTTTTGGAGAAGTCGTGCACTACGCAGTTGGACTCGGGGCTTCCGACACACATGCGAATCCGCTCGAAGGGCTCCGTGTTGAATTCTTTGTACTTCGCATCCTCAATGGTGTCCACCGGCGACGCTTCGTTGAGCAAGGCCTTGTTGGTCCAGAGTGGGCTGGAGAATCCCAGAGTGGACGTCTCGCCAACCTTCAACGCAAGCTTCCAGTTCACCTGAGAATCCGCGGCTACATCGAGGACGTCTTCATAAGGGACCCTTCGGTTAAGGGGTTTGGGGGATTTTGGTACTAATGGACCGATTTGTCCGTAAATAGGCCTCGCTCGGCCCCTACCCCCCTCCCAAAAGGTCCCTATGACTTCTGGAATGTTGCAGGAGCTGAGGGCCGGGTCCGCTTTCAGAGGTGGACCCTGGCTTCTAGGGTTCAGGGCTGGAGAACTCAAGGGTTTTGGGGGAGAGGTGGTCTCGAAGTTCGCTGCTATCAGTAAAATTTCTAGGTTCCCCCGTAGCCCCCTAGTACTAAGGGTGCCCTGTTTTCCTACTATTTGGTTTTAATAAGCGATCCCAAGAAGAAAAAGGGCAAAAGGGTACTACTGGGGAACCTAGATTTCTCGAACCCTAGACCTCTGCCTCCTAGAGTTGAACTGCGAAGATGCCTTTATCAGAGTACCATGGGTCGCAGCATCCATGGGCCCCCTTTTTATCCGCGCCTCCCTGGTCGAACCATGATGAGGTCCGTCTGCCAGGGCATCCCTCCGCAGAAGATGACACCGATCTGCCCCTATTCACCAGAGCATCCATCGGGCTTCCTGTATTCAGAGCATCCAGCCGCTCTGGCCAAGGACCCAGACTGCTTTGTGTGATTCTGCCAAGTCCGAACCCGCGGCAAGGCCAACGAGCTCGAACAAAAACGTGTTACTCGACAGCTGGCGGGAATGATGACTACGGCGGCCGCTACGACCACTCTCCCATCGACTGCCAGCATCAATGTCACCACCAGCCCCAGCGCAACCACCACCACCACCACCACCACCACCGCCAAAACCAACCGAAGCCACGACGAACACAACCACTGCCATAGGGTGTAGGGTCAATGTCAGCGAGAACAAGGACTGGATGAAGAAGGAGAATAGGACAACCACCAAAACGACGGCAATAACAAAGCAGAACGACGACAATAACCACGGCACGGCAGGTTCCCAGTGTCGCGAGGCGTGCTTTTTCACGTGTTGGGTTTAGTCAGGAAGCCCCAGAATAGAATAACAAGGCCATCCTTACCTTCAAACCCTAAGCATGAAATCCTGCACAGATGGCCACTTACCAATCAAAAATCACACACCGTATGAGAACTGGAAAGATGGGCATTCAAGAACCGAGAATCTGAAGACAACTGAAGCATCAACCTCTGGCACTGAAACTATGAAACCTGAAAACCTTTGGCCTCAAACGCCAAAACCTTGGGCTAAATCCTCAACCCCTAAACCCTGAACCCTAGACCTAAACCCCCCGAAACCCTAAACCGTGAAACTTTTAACTTTAAGCCCAGCCCAAACCAATAAACCCATATAGCCCCAAGCCCCAAAAACCTCAAAACCTTAAACCCTTAAAGCCCTAAACCCTTAAATTCAAACCCTAAAAATCCAAAACCCAAAAGCCCTAAACCCCTTATTAAGGAACATATAGAAACCATAATAAGGAACCCTAAAAGCCAGAGTCGCCTTCACCTTGTCCTTGCACGCACAGAGCGGAGCTGTGTTGGAGTGTCGGACCTTGGAGCAGCTCAAGGCACTCGCCGATGTTCCGCGAGTCACTGGCGTGCCTGGGTCCAGGATTTTGGGATTTCAGCTTTCCGGGTGTTGGGCTCTGGGGCTTCGGGTTTTGTGGCTTGGGGGGTTGTGCGGCGCTGTGTTGGGCGATCGACGACAACAAGGAGGCCTAATTGAGAGCAGCCATCGTATTCTCTGCTCCATGGGTCCCTAAACCCTAAACCCATTACCTTAAGGACCCTAAACTATGGGAGTTATGGTCTTTTCCTTATTATGGATAATGCAGGATTTATATCATCAGCCGTACTTTGCTTAACCGGTTAACCCCCCCAAACCTCTAAACCCTAAACCCCTAAACCCTAAACTTTCTTGCTGAGTTTCCATGCCAAAATAAAAGGTAGCCTCTTTGGTCCTCGAGGATGCTTTGGGGGGTTTAGGGCTTACAGAACCCCCAAGAATTCTTGAAACGGTTTTGGGGTACGGCATAGTCTGGGTTGTAGTTTTGGGGCCCTGCAAAGTATTTCTGAATACATACCTCTATAGAAAGCATAAGGGAACTGTTGGTAGACCCTAAACCCTATACCCTAACCCTAAACCCTAAACCCTAACCATAAGGGAAATGTTGGTCGTCTGAATGTTTTGGGACTATGAAGGCATGTTACAACGTAAGACTTACGATTCAGACCTAAGCCTTAGGAGCCTAAAATAGGGTTCGGGCTTTAGGGCTTAGAGTTTACGGTTTAGGGTTTGGGGTTTAGGGTTGAGGTTTAGGGATTAGGGTTTGGGGTTTAGGGTTTAGGGCTTAGGGTTTAAGATCCACGCAGGCCAGGTGCAATCATCATTTTTTCGGCCTGTGATGAATGGGGCACCGGGATAGTTCCGCGATGCATGGAAACCTTGGCGCTGAAAGCACTCCTAGCTGAGGTGGCGGATTCTGAAAGGCTTAGGGTTTACCCATAGGCCCCTAAGTAGTTCCGATTTCTAAATATAAACCACAAACGGAACTACTTAGGGGCCTATGGGTAGGGCATTTCTGATTCTTGGACGTACACCGTTCAATTACTTTCAGCTGGTCTCGGCAAAGTACAGCATGTACAGGGGCCTCGACAAGGCCTCAATAATCAGAATAGGGTTTCGGGGATACCCTAGTATACAACATTATACAACTAACCTGATACGAATACTACTTGTTTGGCCCCGGTATGAATCAAGAGGGTTGTGGTCGAGAAGCTTTTGCAGACGTGGCCGACCTTTGCAAAAGCCGCCTTGACCTTCGGGCTTCATGCAAACAAAACCTTGCATGGGGTTCTGTCTCTTATCCGGGCCCTACATGGTCCTACTTAAACCCTGCCTGAACCCCAAATGACCTGCCTTGCTAAGGACATAAAAAAAAGGAAATCATATTCAGGAACCCCTAAAACGGTGGGTTTCTTAGGGTCTAAACCCTAAACCCCTAAACCCTAAACCCCTAAACCCTAAGCCCTAAACCCTAAAACCCTAAACCCTAAACCCCTAAACCCTAAACCCTAAACCCTAAAACCCTAAACTGTTTCGGTGTTCATCAGGAGTGCCCTGAGTCTCGGAGACTCCCACCTTATCGTTGGAGTCGAGTGCTGCCATTTTCTGCTTGTCCTCGGGATCTTCGGCTTTCGTGGAGGCATGTAGAGGGTTTAGAGCTTAGGGCTTACAGAGTTTAGGGTTTCGGGTTAGGGGTTAGGGTTTTAGGGTTTAGGGGTTTGGGGTTTAGGGTGGAGGGTTCTCTAAAAACTAAGGGGCTGAATATGGTCGCCTTAATCGTTGGTATAATTAAAATAAAAAGCGTCGCCCTCAGGGCCCCATTTGGCCCGCATTCGTAAAAGATCGACTTTTAGTTCTTTTTTTAACAAAAAATGTCGCACCTTGGGTGAACTAGGCCCCGATCGGTGTCCAGTTCAACAAAGAAGTTAAAATACTGAACCACCAACGAAATATAGGTAATTGTATAGGCCTCTACATTTGAGGGTCTAGAGCTCAGCGGCTTGGGGTGTAGGGTTTAGGGTAGCGAAAAGGTGGTCTTAAGTACGGGACGCTAACCAGCTTCTACAACGAATGAAAGCTAGTGATACCCCTGTTTGAAAACGTGCCCACCTGACTTACTTCCTCAATTAGCCGGGGAAATAGAAGGATTATTACCAAAATATACCAAAATATAAGCGTGCCAAAAGTAGAATGGGTATCGGGGAACCAGGGTGACGTGGAATACGTAGCACTCCCCCCAAGGCATCTGGGATTCAGCTTATCGGCTTCTAGCTCCCATGTCACGTAAACGTGTTCCAGCGATGCTGCGATTCGCTGGTGACCGTCCCACTAAGCTTAGGCTCGCGGGGGGATGTTTGGGGTTTAGGGTTTACCTGGGCCCCAAACAACCTCCCTTCTTAGGGTTCCTTATTATGATTTCTTTATATAAGTCCTGAAGAGGGTAGGTTCTATGGGGTTTAGGTAGGGTATATCAAGCATCTCCAAACCCTAATATCTCAGAGTGCAGCCCCGAATCCCAAAATAGGAAGAGATACCCTAAACCCTTAACCCTAAACCCTAAATCCTAAACCCTATAAACCCTTAAAACCCTTAAACCCTAAACCCTTAAACCCTTAAGCCCTAAACCCTCAACCCCTTAAACCCTAAAACCCCAAACCCTCGGGTTCAAACATGAACAGCGAGGCCTGAAGATCCACTGCCAGGCATCTTCAATAATCCGGGTTCCCAAGGTATGGGTTTGGGTTTAGGGTTTAGGGTATGGGTTTGAAGGATGGATATTCAATTATAGGGCTCAAGGATAGTCCTAAACCCGAAACCCTAAAAGAACAGGCTGTCTATACTTTCGGGGTTTAGGCTTCAGGTTTTTGAGGTTTCGCTTGGAATGCGGAGTCATTCAGGCCCGTGCCATGTTAGACCGACGTCATGTCTGGGGGCTTCTTAGGGCGGGTTGGCGTGACCCTTAAACCCCTAAACCCTAAACCCCTAAACCCCTAAACCCCTGAACCCCTAAACCCTAAACCCCTAAAGCCCTAAACCCTAAACCCCTAAACCCCTAAACCCCAACACCCTTATGTAAACGTTTAAGATTTAGGCGTACAGGGCTGAGGGTTCATAGAGTGTGCAAGCCCAGGGCCAGATACTCAAATCGTGTGTCCTACCATGATTAGGGTTTAGGGTTTAGGGTATTTAGGGTTTAGGGTTTAGGGTATTTAGGGTTTAGGGTTTAGGGTCTAGGGTTTAGGGGGCTGCGGCATTCGGGAATGATTGTCACTGCGCGCCAGGCAAACCCAACCCGTAAACCCGTCACCCAGAGAGCTCAATACCCCTTAATTAAGGAATATACCTGAAGTTATAGGGGCCTTAATATTATGATTTCAGGTATATTCCTTAATAAAGGGTATTGGGCTCTCTGGGCAGACTTGGCATAATGAATCGAAGTGTCGCAACTGCGGAAGCCATTGGCTTTGCACACCTGGGTTTTTGCGAGGGCGAGGGTTCATTTCTTTGTGGGCCGTTGCAATCAAGAGTCTGACTACTCAGTAATTAACTCATGTTCTGAGAGTCTCATACAAGGGACTGAGCGGCTGGAATCAAACAAAAATGCAAGGAAATCGCCTTATCGGCAAGGGGTTTGGGGGGGTATTCTGCACATTCTACCGGGCTTATCAAGGAAAAGTGCTCAATCTTGTGAATTCAGCGGTCGTTGGCTCGTTTTGTGTGAATGGTGTTGTGATCTTAGACTGTTCTGCTAGGTTCCCCAGCAGCCCCTAGATAGTAAGGGTACCCTTCTTTCTACTTTTTGGTTCTAATGAGGGAACCCAGAACTCAAAAGTGAAAAAGGATACTACTGGGGAACTTGGTCTAGTCCCTAAACCCCAAACCCTAAATAGTCTACAGCCTCTACTGCGCCAGTTTCGGAACTCCGAGGTTGGCTCGTTAAGACCAGGGAAAACAGGCCGAAACACAGTTCGCATGTCGTGCGGCTTAGGGTTTAGGGCTCCTGACCAGCAGACTTCACAACTTGGGCCACGAACCTTGCGCGGGGAAGCCGCAGGCATTTTCGGGCTGAAGGGTTTGGAGACACAGCTCGCAGAAAAAGGCCGATTGCAAGGACAAAACCATGACCTAAACCTTAAACCCAATATCACTATATCCTAAACCCTGTATCCTTCCACCGCCAAGAAAGAGCTTACAAAAAGCCTTCAACAAGATGCATCAGGGTTTAGGATATAGTGATATAGGGTGTAGGACAAAGGGTTTAGGGTTTAGGGTTTAGGATGCAGGGTTTAGGAATTGGGATATAGGGTTTAGGGGAATCTTGTGTAACAGCTCTGTCCATTAACTGTTCCTGTGACTTGTTGCAAACGAAGAATAAACTTGAAAATTGCACTTTGCAGGCGACAGCGAAGTTCGCTGTGGCACGGACCGGTATGCGAAGACCAAGCCCCTTTAAACCACACCCTCTGAGGGTTAGGGCTGATGGGATTATCAAAAGAAGTAATTTTGAACCCTTCTTTTTGTGATCCTGGGTTTTCGTCAGTTCGTTCGGTTGAATGGTTAAGTGCTGCGCAGACTGCATATTCGGTCGCGTCTCGAGCATGGCTGTGGCACTGAATCTAGAGTCTCTAGAGGTGTCGCTTTTGAGAACTTTGTCGCTGTGGCATGTAGAACCCAATGGAATTCTCTTTGGTCGGTGAAGCCCTTCTTAGAAGTCGTGTTTACGGAGCCGACCGAGTTACCTGCCTGAAAGTACTGTTGCGAGAATAGCACTCCTGTAGTACCCCCCGCCCCCTACCTCCCCCCCCCCCACCCCCCGCCCCCCCGGCCCCCCCGCCCCCGATACAAATAAGGGCCACACAAACATTCCTTGAGATTGACCTGAAACTTCATTCGACCTCAAACACACCCCAACCCAAAACAAACGCAGCCAAATAAAATTCTAATCATCTTAAAAAACATGAAGAAATCTCCAATCTGACTGCTTTCAAACTTTTCGGTACAGGTGCGGGAAGGCCTGTAGGATCGTGTCGTGTGTTCTTAAGAGGTCAGAGCCTCCATATCAAACAGTCCTGCCGCCATGAAGCAGGCTCATGGGCTCATGTGGTCCGGCTCTTTAAGGTTTAGGGCTTAAGGCTTGCACCCCGTCAGTTTGGCTCAGCATGCCAGTGCAGGGATACAAGAGTGAATTTCAATTCCCACACACCTGAGATTCAATTCGGTTAAAGGCATGAAGATCCGAATCCGTTCGTCACGCAAGGTGGTTGAACCGTTTGTCACGCCAAGGGATTGGAAGGTTAGTACAGTCTTCGGTTTAAGTCTTGCACAGCTAGAGCTCGAAATAGCTAATTAGAATCTTGGATGTCCGGACACAGGTGGGGCTGGATCCTAAACTGTATCTTAAAGCGTTAGCAATGGTGCAGGTCTAGAGCTTTTGAGCAATTATTATTATTATTCTTCTTATTCTTATTATTATTCTTATTATTATTATTATATATATATATATATGTATGTATATATATATACACAAACATATAAATAATATTAACAATGTGTATAACTATATCTATAACTATGCCTCTCTATATATATATATGTATGTATATATATATGTGTATGTATGTATACATATATATATGTATTATATATATATATAGACGTCTAACTGTAGAGAATCCAAACCTGAATTTTCTTGAACTTCTTGACTTCCATACGAAACTCAGCCTCCAGCCGGGAGCATCAACTGAACCAGGCTCAAGTTCCAGGCGAAGTCCCCTGAACCCCAGCTCTAAAACACCGAACAACCATACCACCATACCGTCTCGACTCTAAACCACGACTCTCGGAAAACTAACACTAGAACCTCCACCCTAAGCCCTAAACCCATAATGGTTGAAACAACTAGCACAGGTCAGACAAAGTACGTCATTGCACGGCTGCGCGAAGTCGGCTTGGAACCACACTCTGTCCTGCAGCTTGTTAATCTTCTCAGGTTTGGGGTTCTGGGGCTTAACACGTGGGTCGAAATGTAGGTGCCGGTTTTAGTGTTCCGGGTGTTAAGGCTTTTCGGGCTTCCGTGACTGTGTCATGGGACGGTTTAGATATATGCATAAGCTTGGTCTTGGCTTCGCTAACTTACTTGAGATTGTACTGATCAGTTTATGTACGAGAGCTGGGAATGCATCATCCCCCTAGCAGGGATTCTTTCCATGTTCATTCCGTACCTGGAAACTCTAGTACTTCGTCGAGGAGGCCGTGCGAAAGAACATCCTACAATCTAGTGAGCGGTTATACCCTCATGAAGGGCCTCTGAAATGTCTGTGTACGAACTTGTCAATTACAGCTCCATAAACCCAAACCCGATTCTCTCAACACAGTAAACCCTATAGGCCCTGAGCCCTGAAACCCTAAAGCTTCACGGCCCGAAAGTGGGCCTTCTTTTCTTTGCAGGCACAGAGAGGCTTGCCACCACCTTGGTTCCCGCTGCAACTCAATGAGCTCTTCTTGGTTCCCGGAGTAACCTGAGCTCTGCACGAAAATGAGTTGGGTTTAGGGTTTAGGGTCTAGGGTCTAAGGTTTAGGGCACTCGAACCGAACATGCAGGAAGAACATCCTGCACAGCATCAGATAAACTCAACTCCCCACAGCATCCCGGCATCCTACAGTCCAGACATCCCTCGTATCATAAGACAAGCTCAACGACTCAACCCTAAAACCCTAAACCCTAAACCCCTATTCCCTAAATCCTACAAATAACCTTAAACCACAAAACCCCAAAACCCCGAATTCAGAGGGCCCGGGTCGCTGCATTAAGCCCTGAACCTTCAAAGCCGACGCCACGCCCCGGCTCAGGGTTCGGGGTTGAAGGTTTAGGGTTTATAAAGTTTAGGGTATAGGGGTTCGTAGGGTTTAGGGGTTTAGGGGTTTATAAAGTTTAGGGTATAGGGGTTCGTAGGGTTTAGGGTTTAGGGTTAGGGCCTATAGAAGTCTAATCACCCTAAAAGGCTCTAAAACTCATCCCTGACTGAACCCTTTGTAGATCCATTAATGAACCTTTTGCAACTTTAGAAAACCCTGAGGGAGCGCGTAAAGAACCCTTGAACTCTAAACCCCAACCCCTCGAAAACCCTAAACCTAAACCCTAAACCCTAAACCCCTAAACCCTAAAAATCACCCCAGAAGCTGGCGCGCAGTCGTCGTTCCTGCCCGTGGAGAAAGGGCTGCCGGGATAATTTCGGGCTCCGTGGTAGCCTTGGCCAGAACCCGCTGTAAGGGTTCCTTCAAGGGATCTATAAGCTTTTGGGATTTAGGGATCAGGGTTTAGGGGTGTGTTTTGGGTTGAAAGGCTTTTGGGATTCCCTAATCCCCAAACCCGAGTCGGATTTCGGACAAGGGCTTGGGGGTTTCAGGGGCTTGCAGATCAGAGTTGAGCTGATAAGGGTTCTAGGATTGAAGATCCATCAGGGTTTAGGGTTTAGGGGTTAAGGATTTAGGTTCGAGTTGGGGGATGGGTACCATGATGATGCCTTTCCGAAGATTCCCGCCATCATGGACCCTTGGAGTGGAGCCCGAAGTCTAGGAACCCAAACCCAAAACTTAACATCTCTACAGCCTTAAACCCAGAGAGCCCAATACCCCTTAATTAAGGTATATTGGTAGATTCCTTAAATCATAGTATTAAGGCCCCTATAATTTAAGGTATATTCCTTAATTAAGGGGTATTGGGCTCTCTGGGAAAAGCTGAACCCTTAACTCCACACTCGGTGCACGCGACCCTTGCAGTGGTAGCCCACTTCGCGGAAGGCCGCTGACACTTTCTCGTTACTGTCGAGGGCCACCATCTGCTCCTTATCCTTGGAATCGGGTTTAGGGTTTAGGGTTTAGGGTTTGTGAAGAAGGTTGCGGTTTAGAGTTCCATGTGTACAAAACTACCTACTTCAGGGTCTGCAGCCTACGATCATCTACGTTTTAGGCATTATTGGCCCGGTCGCCACACTTTGCTGGAGTGCTAGGTCACAAAGGTAGCCCGCCTCTACAATGCCTTCTGAGTCCAAAGAATCCAAAACCTTGAACCCTATACCCCTCCACGCCCTAAAACCCTAAACCTCTAAACCCCAAACCCTAAACCCCTAAACCCTAAACCCTGAACCTAAACCCTAAACCCCTAAACCCCTAAACCCTATTCATCCTGCAAGCTTCAATGGTACGGGCAGCATACCCGTAGGAGTTCTTTAGCCGTGAGGCGGCTAGGGTTCAAGGGTGCTGGGCCTCACGGTGCCGGATTTACAGGTTGTCGGCTTGAGGCCTGGTTTCAGGATGTGCTATAGAGGTTTCTGTTCTTGGCTTCAGACAACTATGACATCTGGCTTTGTTTTGGGTTCAGGCTGTCGAGGGTAGAACTCTGTCATCTCAGCGGCGCATCCCGCATAGGAGTTGCGCTTGCACACCTGTTTCAAGAGACCCGAGTATTTTTTTGACTCAGTTTCGGGCTCTTTTGGAAAGTGCCAATATCGATACAGGAGAGCCTGTATAAAACCAACACCCGTCTCGAGACATAATTTTTGATTAGCCAAAAGGGGGCATTTGATGTCATGGCTGGTTGACGACACCAACACAGCGATCCGACCTCAAATACATCCCCGAATGATCTGGGCAACACATGGGGCATCCGTGAAGGCTTCAAGATCGGGATTTAGGATCGCTGTGATGCATTTCTGGCAGTAGTTTGGTATACCAAAGCAAGCTCGTTTGTTTGAGTGGTACGGCTGAGGCTTGTAGCAATAAGGCGTCGCACCGCACTGATAAGTTGGGATCTTTGTTTCCGGGTGCAATCCTACGCTGTTTGCATTCCTCACAAGCCTCGATTTCAGTCGGCGCATCTGCGCTTCCAAGCTGTCATCATGACATGCTAAGCCCTAAACCCAAAACCCTAAAACCCTGAACCCGTAAAAAAGCCGGAAATGCCGAACCCACACCCGAGGCAAGAGTTAGCCACGGCACCGAGTCGCAGGTTTCCCCACTGTTGCCCATGAACCAGGGCACCAGGTTCTGTCAAGTCAGAGTTGGATCTTGCAGGTTGCCATGTTTTGGGTGGGAATTCTTATAATCAAGAAAGGATCCTGCTGGTCGGGATCTAAGATCTGCTTCGGGCCCCTTAAAAAATAAAGGTTTTGAGGGTTTTTGTTGGGGTGGAGTGTCCCCAGAAGCTCTAGCTTCTTTCTCTGTCTTCCTTTCGCAGACCCAGAGGGTGGCTCAGCCTGCAGCGAGGCCCCTCTGTCCGCTCTCTGACAGAGAGGGAAACGGATTGCATCACTCCGATCAAATTTGTCTGCAAAAATCTCTCATATATGCATATGTGTGTGAATGCATGCATGTATGTATGTATGTATGTATGTACGGATTATGCCTGTATGTGTGTGTGTATGTGCATGTATGCGGGGATGTGTATATGTACATACATATATATATATATACATATATACATATATATACATATATATACATATGTATACATACACATGTAAGCTATCTGTCTTTCTCCTTCTCTGTTCCTCCCCCTGTTGGCAAGCTCGCCCAAGACTTGTTTTCGCAGCTTAAGTTTGACGGTAAAGTGCCTAACCCCTAAACTCTAAATCCTACACTCTAAACCGTAAACCCTGAACTGAAAGCCCGAGGCCCTATACCCCTAAGGGTTCGATGGGAAATCGAACCCTTAGGGTTAACAAAAGGGCCTAAGGCTTAGGGTTCAATAGACGTGGCATCAGTGAAGGATGTATTCGGTTTATGGCTTTGGGGCCCTATCTAGGCAGCATGTTAGACGCTCGGAGCATTGCACCGGCGGTATAAGGGCAACCTTTTTACCGCCGAACGCCGCGCCCTAAACCGAAAGAACACCGCCTAAACTTGGCCACACGAACAGCTACAAGCTACAGCTCAACCCCTCGCCGGAAACTCCAGCATGCCAGTCATGGCCAGTGCATGTCATGATCCGGCTTACTGTAACACTGCTGTGAACCCGAGAATGCCTTCTCGTGCTTGAGGACTGCCGCCGGGACCTTCACCTTGGAGTTGCCGGTATCCAGACCCTGGTAGCGCATCTTGAGGTTTTCCCCGCCGTAGTTCTCGCACATCTCTACCCTGATCTCATGGGCACCTGGCTTCAGGAACTTGTCGCTGCTGCCCCTCTCCCTTTCTCCATGGCAATCGTTGTTGTCGACGACCTGCTCCCCGTTCAACCACATGAGGGAGCCTCACCACAAACCCAGTTGCAAGCACACGCTATCTTCAACCTATGCTTATGCGGGGCCATTGCTTGCTGCATGCAGAGCACCATCATCTGAGGCGAGGAAGAACTTGTAGTTGCCCTCTTTCTTCGTGACCAGAAGACCAGTGCACCTGCCAAGGCATTTGCGAACTGCGGGGATAACCCCAAGCCGATGCAAGCCCTGCCTGACACAGAACTGATCCAGTTGACGTATCTTGGGGAACCGGCCGTTGGACTGAAAGGGCTGCAAATCATTGCAAGCACAACATGCATGAGTGCAAGAGGATCAACAGTGGCCATGCAGAGCCGCCAGTAATCTTCATCCCTTTTCCCAAATCCCCGTCCATGAAGATCTCGGGCACGATCTCACGATGAACCGGTGTCCTATTGAGGTGCCATGGGCAAGTTAGGCATGAAGCTTCCGCTGCGGTGTTGCTGCAGCAGGGCACACGAATCTACATCCTAATTCCTAGACTAGAGTTCTAAGCCCTTTGGACTATACACCCAAACACACAAGCCTCCAAATACTTCCTAAGTTTCCTAAACCCTAAACCCTAAATTTCCAATCGCAGCCAACCAAGCCGGGCGTCAGGGCACTCAGGTCCGGCAGGGTGCACTGAGTCTTATCATAGAAGTAGTCGCACTGTAGGCCGGCCAACAGATCGACCTGGAGACATGGAAAGCTCTGCAGCAAGGAGGTTTAGTTTGGGGTTTTGGGTTTGGTAAAGTTAGTCAAGGACTCATTTTCGTAGATCATATTCGAAGCACCCTTTCAGTTTATGGTATATTGGCCTCTCTGCTTTGGCTTGCTTTGGGTTCCAGGGACAGCTATGAATGACAGCGACACTAGTAGTGATGCTGCGCCTTGAACCTTATGAGCGTTCCCCTAAACCCTAAACCCCAACATTGCCTTGCCCAGTCTTGCAGTCTAAACACCACGACGATCCCTAAACCTCACTCAACGCCAAGCCCGACATCCCAAACTCAACTTAGGGTTTATAGGGTTTTGGTTTCTAGGGTTTTAGGGTGTAGGGGTTCAGGGTTGAATTCTACGGGATAGTCCTGAACTCTGCACCTCAGCGTATGCTGACCCAAGACCATATGCTCAATTCTGGGAAAGCCTGTTCGTTCTACTCACCCCACAATGTCTGAAATCGCCCTAAACCCCTAACTAAACCCTAACTTTGCTCCGCCTGTCAGGGTTTGTCTGGAACCATGCCCCCCTAATCCCAGCACCCGCTAAACCCCGAAACATGGAGGCGAGCTGCTCTTTTCTTGCAATCTGCGGTGCAGTCCATCCCGGGAGGGTCGCATTCTTCATCCCCAACCACCTGCGTCCAGAACCAACTAAAGCCAAAACCCCAAACCCCTAAATCCTAAAAAGCTAAAATGCTAGGCGGCTAGCGGGGGCCATCGGGTCATCTTCCTCTGTGGAGGTTCGTGCTTACGAGGTTGAAGGGCTTAAAGTTTATGGCTGTAGATGTTTTGTCAGCTGTCAAGGGTCTAAACCCCAATTTAACTTCAACAAATCCCGAAGCCCCTACCTAAAGCCCTAAAACCCTAAATCCCCAAACCCTGAACCCTAAAACCCTAAACCGCTCCAAGGAACCTTCCCATCGCCACAAATGGGCTTGCAGCCGCTTTCACTTTGCCACTGCCATCCTCCAGCTGCCAGGATGAAAGTTCATCTTTTAATCCACAAGGACTAAAGTTCAGGGTTGAGGGTTGAGGGCTTGGGTTTGGGGTTTAGGGTTAGTGGTTTAGGTTCAGGGCTTGGGTTCGGGGTTTAGGGTTTGAAGGGCCTTGCTTTTGGGGCTTGGGTTTGGGGTTTAGGGTTTAGGGTTTAGAGGGTTTAAGTTCGGGGCTGAGGGTGTTGGGCTTGGTTTCGGGGTTTAGGTTTTAGAGGGATTAGGTTCAGCGTTGAGGGCGGTACGATCTTAGGCGGGTGGACTCACTGTAAGCAGGAGCTGCCGCAGCAAACAGAACCCTCAAGCTAAGGTTCTAATGGCCATTATCCCTGCCAGGACAGCCCCAAAAGACAACTCACCAACATGTGTCAAAAGACTTACATACACTCGCCGAGACCCTAAACCCGAAGTGTCAATCTCCCCGATCCTTTCAGCAGCGTACAGTTGTCAGCGCAACATTCCCCCTGGTCGCATTGCTCCTGCCCGCCAAGTTGCAGCTTGGAGTTTTGGGTTTAGGGTTCAGGGGTTTAGGGTTTAGGGTTTTGGGTTTAGGCGTTGGTTTAAGGCTTTGGAGCTCTGACGAAGATCTGTCTCTTGTCCTACCCACAAAAATGCAAAGAACTCGTTCGGAAGGAGCACATGATAACGGCGTTCTGACTGCTTCTCAAGGGATCATGGTCATGGCACCCGGTGGTCATGATACGGATGTTGGCATGACAGGAACTTGCAACCGCTTCATGTGCAGCGATGTGGATGGCATGCAAAATGCAACAATTTTATGAAGGTAGTTTAGCAACTTCCGACATAGAACTTACTTGGGGCGGGGGTAACAAAAGCTAGTATGTGCGTGTCTATCTATCTATCTATCTGTCTGTCTATAGATATCTATATATATATATATAAATATGCTCTTGAGCTGCAAATCCACGATGCCTCTGGTAGGGTTACCACGGAAAACGACTAGTGACAGACCGCCGCATTGAACTCCATGGTTCGGGGGCAGTTTAGGGTTTAGGGGTTAGGGTTTCAGGCTGTTAATCAAAGGGTGCGGGGCTTCAAATTCGAGTTTGGGGCTTAGTTTTCAAGCTTGGTTCAAGCTTGGGGCTTATAGGGTTTAGGGATTAGGGGTGAGATAAGTTGGTGGTTTAGGCTCTCGATTCAGGCTTATGGCCCCGTCGGGTTAAGGTTCAGAGACCGGGTTTCGGGCTCAGGCTTAGGGTTTAGGAATTAGGGTCTGGATGTGCAGTAAGGTCAGAGTGAGACTACAGCTTTCTGGAAAATGTCATGCGGTGGCAGTAAAACCCAAGCAATCAAAAGTTGTGAGCTTTGGACAAAACATATACCGCAGGAAACATCGACCAATCGGCTGCTTTCAGTATAATCGAATGATACTCTTTGTAACATCAGGGCTTCACAGCTTAAACAAGTCTTAGATAAAACCAAAGCCACAGATCTTTAGGACACAGCTCATATCCGAACAGCACCCCGCAGGAATTGATGTGATTCCAGACACAGCAGGGATTCCCACTTTCGGACGTTTCCATATTGTGGATTTGAATTATAAACCTTAAATTTAAACCTGAAGTTTGCGGTCAAGTCTTCACATCCGCGTTCCAGCTAAGGCACTTTTCCGACCACCAGCCCATCACCACAGATGGAAGCAGTCTTCTTCCTTGTTGGCTGAGGCGGCAGGATTTGGGGCTGAGGGCCTAGTGGTGCCGGAAAATGGTTCTGTCTTAGTATGCCGTAGTCAGAGGGTTTAGGGTTTAGGGTTTCATAGTCATAATGCAGGGTTCACAAAGGAAAGGTGTACCTGCCAGGCATGCTTGGGAGACAAATGCTAAACTGTTGCTTGCAGGAGGAATTCATTCACACATCCCAACCCCCGCAAATCAAACTAAACTAAACCAATCCAAACACCCCAACTCTCGCAATTTCAACTCAACAACAAGTCGCCCTACACCCTAACCCCTATACACCACCGTCAACTTTCAACCAGCCTAACTCAATATTTAGCACAAAGTTTCGGGGTATGCTATACTATAATTGAAAGAGGGGCCGGGAGGATAATTGTTTTTTCTATATCTTCTTATTATTGGCCTTGTTGTTTTTTTTTGGTCTGGGGGAGTGGGTGGGTGGGTGGCCCAGACCAAAACAAAAAGAGTTGTTATTTTAAAGAACTAACCCATCCACAAAGGACCCCCAAAAGCATCCTAAACCCTACACCCTAAACCCTAGATTTAAGCCCCTATCGGACGTCCTGCCTCCAAGGCTCTCCAAGGGAACCCACTCCCATCCGTCCTCGAGCCTGCACTCGTCGGTGCACCCCTCTCCCGGCGGATCGCACTCCTCCTTTCCGAGGACCACCTCGGCTCTTGGGGGTTTAGGGTCCTCAGCTCTTAGGGGTTGAGGGTCCTCAGCTCTTAGAGGTTTAGGGTCCACAGCTCGCAGGGGTTTAGGGTCTCGGGTTCGGTTTTTTTAGCGTGTAGGGTTTAGGCTCTTACGTCCTACACGGAGCTGGTCTGAACCCTAAACCCCCAAACTCGAAACCCTAAAGCCCGGAAGCTCTGAACCCGGCGACTTCAAAACCCCTAAACCCCCAAACTGGCAACCCTGAACCCGAAAACCCTGAAGCTCTAAACTACGGGAACCTCAGAGCCCTATAAGCCCTAAACCCTCATAACCGCTCTAAAGCCTGAAAACGCAACTGCGCGTCCCTCCACCGACACTTTTGGGCTTTTGGGTTTAGGGCTTGGGGGTTTAGGGGTTTGGGGTTTAGGTGCGTACTGTTCTGGCGTATTCGGAAGGGTTTCAGAAGGGCTTTCATGGTTAAGAGAAGGTTCTAGTGCTTGCCATACTGCAGGTAATCCCCAAATGGACTAGGTGAGGGGTAAGTAATTAAGTGTTCAGGCCGCTGGGTCTGGGGTTGGTCTAGGGTTTCGCCACAGCACCGCATCGCCGCAAATGGCCTTGCAGCCATCTTCCCACTTCCATCCATCGAGGAGATCGCAAATCGGATTGCAGCAGTCGGATCCCGGGGGGTCGCACTGCTCCTGGGGCCGTGGGGTTTGATAATTAAATTCAGGCTCCGGGGCTTTGTGGTTGAGGCTTTTAGGATTGACGGAGGGCTTTGAGCCTTTTAGGTTTGGGGTGTGCGAGGTTTAGGGCACGAGCTTGCGGAGGATAGCAACGATGGGGGAAAGATCAGGGCACCTCACCCTGATAATACAAACTTGCTTTGTGGATGACAGCAGTTGCGTTGCATTTTCGTTCTTCTTCCCTAAAAAAGCACTCTGCAGGTTGGTGACAGAGCAACTGCTGCGCACCGCACATCTCCAAATCCACAGGAAGCTGGGCTGAATATGCTGTGTTCGAAGATGTGGACCGTGTGATACAGTTTTTGTACTCTAATTGCCCCAAACTACGATTCGTGAACTTGCATACACGAAACATGTTCGAGCAGATTTTGCGCCCATGGGCCGAACCCCCCAGCCTAAATCCCTAATCTTAATCATTTGAGTCGCCATTAAGCTCTACATACGCCAAGGAACCTTCCCGACGAGCAGGCTGTCTCCGCAAATCGGCACGGCCTTGTTCTGCAGCCACTTCCACCCTTCCTTCAAGCGGCATTCCTCGTTGCACCCGTCGCCAGGAGGATCGCACTCCTCCTTCCCCAGGACCACCTGAGCTCTTGGAATTTGTTGAGTTCAGAGATTCAGGGTTCAAAACAACAACTTGCCAAGCTTCATGTGACTGTCGACGTTGGCTAAGCGGCTAAGCTCAAAACGTGCTGCTCCGATTATCTTCAGTGTTTGGCAGATCTGTGAGTCTCTCCTCTAATGTATGAGGAGGCAAAACCAAATGTTGCTGAGCACCAAAGCCACACCGTCTCCACAAATGGCCTTGCAGCCATCCGTGTCTTGCCTGCAAGGCAAAATCGACACTTTCATTCTGCAACGGATCCCTTGAACCCTAAATCCTACACTTACACAACCCTGAACCTCAGCAGCAGCATAGCTAAGTACGATGGTTCAGAGCCAAGTAGCCACTGAAATCCGGGCTTAAGCTTGCACTTGGGATCGCAGCAGCCGCCCGGAGGGTCGCACTCCTCGTTTCCGGTGATGAGCTCGTCACCACATTGCATGGTGACAAGTTGCGCTCCGCCGTCGGTGCATGTCTGCAAATCGGTCGAGTCAGAAGACTTGCGCCCATAGATCAGCAACTTCTCTGCATGCACATCCTGGCGAGAAGAGAACGCAAGCCAGCTTGGCTTTGGGATCTGGACAGACGACGCATCAAGGACAAGCAAGGTTCTAGGCTCTGCCCCCCTTCCCAAAGAGCCCAATACCCGCTTAACTAATGAACGGAGTTTAAGGCAGAACT